TTCTGTCCTTTATGTCATTCCTTTCATCCTTACGTTTCTTTCTTATGTCTTTCCTATCACTTTATTCCAGCTTTGATATTTTAAGTCTGAAATATTAGAATATCTGCCAAATTTCTTATTGTAAACTGAATGCAAAGGCCTGTTAATTTAGGAAATTTGAGTAGAACATCTTTAAATGACAAAGTCTGGGACAAAGCCAGTCTGAAACATATAAAACAAACCTTTTTTTGTTTTCTCCCAGGAGGAGAACATGACCGCAGTGGACGCCGCCCCCAGAAAACAGCCCTCTAAGCTGGACGCGAAGCTCCAGTCGCTCCTCGAACTCATCTGTGACCTCAGAGCCATGGAGGAGTGTGTGCTGGAGATGAAGTTCGACACCAGAAAAGCTCCCCTTGGTGCGCCATACTTAGGGGAAAAAATAAATAACTCAGTCTTAAAGTGCACCGGAATGGATTGTTAAGCACTGTTTGTGTTCCTACCTGCAGGAAAGCTGACCTCGGAGCAGATCCGTGCAGGATATGAAGCCCTGAAGAGAATCGAGTCATGCTTGAAGAAAAAGGGAAGCAATAAGGAGCTGCTGGACGCCTGCAACCAGTTTTACACCCGGATCCCGCATGACTTTGGGTAAGAAGCATGAAATAACCCTGCAAAGAAAACATTTAGTCTGTTTTGATGTTTGGAAATTAAAAGAAAGTAAATTTCCAGGTTAAAAACGCCTCCAATGATTCGCACAGAAGAAGAACTGAAGGAAAAAATTGCTCTGTTGGAGGTAAAATATTTCAGATTTGTTTTTCTTTCTCAGCACCTCAAAGTTCCACCAGTCTATAAATCCATACATCATTTATAGAGATCGATCCGATATTAATATCTGAGGCCCTGACATTGAAAAATGTTCTAGATTACTGACAATATGTCACTGATCTAGAATCCATAAGGATGGATCTATTCAGTCTGATTCTATGATTTGTGCTCTGAGCGACATCAAGCGTTATTATTTATTTTACATTATGTTTAGAATTTCTAATTGCACTTTCGTTTATTTTTTATATGTTTGACCAAAATAGTCAACCTGTTGTTTTTTGTAAGTTTCAGTTTCTTTATTATTTATTTTATTCTTGCTTTTATTGTCCTAATTGCTCTGACTCAACAAATTATTTCAGATTATTTCACTTAACAATATATTTTTCCCATGTTATAAGTGAAATAATAAATTAGCACATTTAAAAAAATAATACCAAAGAATTATTTACTTAAAACAAGCTCTAAGATATCGGTATCAGAGGTGAGGAAAGTGGATCGGTGCGTCCCTAATCATGTTGTCTAATATTTTTCTTTCCAGGCGCTGAGTGACATCCAGATTGCAGTGAAAGTGGCCGAGTCCAATGCAGACAGTGACGAGCATCCTTTGGACAGACAGTATCACGCCCTGCAGTGCCAACTGGAGCCTCTGGACCAAAGCAGCCACGAGTTCAAGGTTGGTTAAGTTCAATAATTACAAGATCGTCAAAATCTGATGAATAAATGAGCTTTTAAATATTTATTTTACCTGTTGACTAAATTAAATTTAACTTGAATTTGTTACTTTATAATAACTTTTCTTCTCATTTTCTAAATGTGCTGTATATATTCCCATTGTGGCCAGCAGGGGGAGCTAACGCTGCTGTAGTAAAAAGCAATTGACTTGCTGCACAGCTTATAACCAGTCAGTTATATTTATATAATATGATTAGTGGTGGGACTTGATTAAAATTTGTCATCAAATTAATTTAGGATCTGTAATAAATTAATCGTATTTTAATCGAAACCACATTTTAACAAAATAAGCAACATTTTCAATTCGAAATCCCTTTTTGGTGCTAAATAATTTAATAAAAAGTCACATGAGCTCTGTTGTTTTTAATGTTATTTCGGTAATTCAACCATCAGAATGATGTAAAGTGCAATTTTTTAAAAAACTTATTTTTTAGAAATGTGAACTGTGGACGTTGACTTTAGCGTAGACTTTGCTAACTGCACCATATTTAGCATTGAGATGCTATTTTAGACTTTAATGGCTTCGCTGATTGGCTAACTTATTTTAGGACAACTTGAACATCATAAAGTATTTACCAGCACCCAGTCAGATCGTTTTTTGAAGCAAAAATTAACGTCCAGTGGGCCGAGAAAAGCGGTTTTGTTGTCCATCGCTCTTGTTTATGGATGTCGCCTGTGCATCAGATTAATGGGTGTACCAGAAACACAACACAAAAGTTCCTACTCAGGATTTTTCTTTGTATAAAAAAAGGCAATTAATTGCATTAAAATCCATGTAATTAACTCGTTAACATCTAAAATGATCATTTTAATTCAAATGATTCATTGCTTGATAAAGTCCCACGTTCAACTGTTTAATATGTTTCTTTTATTAATTGATAGCTGAATCTAAATGATCTAAATAAAATTTAATGCATTCATTACCAATTTTTGTATTGATTAAGATAGAATACCAATAGATTTCTTATTTCATGAAATATAAAAATCAGTTTTAGAAAGTAATCTGCTCCCACCTTATTTACAGACAAACTAAAAGAAACTTCTGATGTTAGCAACAAATATTTCTGTTCTAAGTCATCATATTTTAGAGGGAAAATTATATTTATTTCATTCAAAAACATACAAATATAAAAATAAAGAACATTACAGCCAACCCGGAGCACCCTTTTCATGAGACGGTGATACAACAACACATTGTCTTCAGTCAGAAGCTTCTTCAGAGTCTCTGTAACACAGACTGCTGCAGGAGATCCTTCCTGCTCATAGCCATCAGGATCAACAACTCTTTGAAAAAATTAGGTAATATAAGTTATAACACGATTTTAGTGCAGTCACATTCAGAGATTAATCTTTTTTTCTTACTTTTTTTCTCCAAGAATAATCCAACCATAATTCCCTGCCCTATAAAATATTTATACGTATTGTAAAGGTTATTAATTGTGCAGTGACGAGGCTGTGTAAAAAAATCCTGTAAAAGAACTACTTAACGATCTGTTTGCTGTGTGTCGGAGCTCATTGTTTGGAGGATTTTTATTGACCGAAGAGACTCAAAATCAAGTCTTTAAAACTCAAGCAAAAATATAATCTCTTTACTTGACTTTAAATGGTGCAACCACAGACTTTTTGTGGCATTTTCTTCCAGTCTTCAAAGAATGAGGAGCGAAAATGTGGTTTTCTTGACTCCAGACTTTGACAGGAAGTGGAAAGAAATTAGTTTTAGGACCGTGACGAGGCTTTTATTCCTCACATCTGTTATTTATTGTAGAAAATATAGGAAGAGAAGGAGGATCTTGTTTATTTTAGATTTGTTCTTCCATATTTATTTGGCAAACATAGAAATTATGGCTGGGCGAAATGACTTAAAAAATAAAATCTGAGACTTCATAATGCATTTTATTTATTGTTTTGGTTGTGTTTGATTTTCATTTATTATTTTGTATTTTATTTTGGATATTTAGAATATCTTCCAGTCTTCCTGTTGTAATTCAGTGTGGTGTGTTTAATACAAAATTAAAGTTTATTTGAAAGCGTTATTATTGTTCATACATTGTTTGAATATGGTCAAAAAACAATATTATTGTTTATCTCAATAATTATTGTGATAATAAAAGTATTGATATGCTTAAGCCTGGCCCTGATATGTCATTGTAGAGTTTAGCTAAATTTAAAGTCCAAATAAACTGAAGCTGCAAAAACCCGCTTGTAAAACAAGATGGCCGCCTTAAGCGAACAGACAATGGTGAAAAAAATTCCATGTTTTCCAAGAACCAAATCTTTGATTAACTGATGAAATGAATGTAATTTCTGTCCTCCTGTCTTTGTGTAAAGGTGATAGAACGGTACCTGCAGTCCACTCACGCTCCCACTCACTCCGACTACACCATGAAGGTCCTGGACGTCTTCTCAGTGGACCGGGGCGGCGAGAGCGACAACTTCCTGTCTCATTTACACAACAGGTGGGTCGAGCCAGAACCGGTGGCTCCCTCTGCTCCACACTGCAAAAACACAAAATATGACCAAGTTTATTTATTTAGTTTCAAGCATAGTTGAAGTAAAACAAAACTAACTTACAAGTGAAATCAATAATTCCTTAATATTGATGAAAAAGTTCTAGCTATTCTCAATTATAACAAGACATTTTCCCAAGTTACAAGTGAAATAATCTGTAAGTGGAACCGGAACTTTTTCATCAGTTATTTACTTAAAACAAACTCCTAACTCTTGCTGAAGTTACTTTCATCTTATTTCCAGTATACTAAGATATTTGCACTAGAAACATTAGAAAACAGTTGTTAGGTTTTGTGTTTTTGCGGTGCTCATGTTGGGTTTTTCCATCCCTGTGTTCATGTGTTGCTCTGTTTTCACCAGGACTCTGCTGTGGCACGGCTCCCGTCTGTCCAACTGGGTCGGGATCCTCAGTAAGGGGCTCCGAGTGGCGCCGCCGGAGGCCCCCGTCACCGGATACATGGTACGAAGGGGAGGCTTTCACACACACACACATGCATTCATTTTGAGCTTTTTTCCCTGTTTTAAAACAGTATTTTACAGAATTATTCATATCACAATAATCTGAGCTCAAAAACCTCATTAAATATAAACTATTTTGGCTTTTTTGTCAGAATTTCTCCATGTTTTCTGAATTTTATGATTCCTAAAAAAAATCTGGTTTTAATTTAGTATTATATGGAAAATAAAAATAAAAAGTGTTAACACAAATATTTGTATTTCCAGACTTTATTATATATTCTGTTGTTTAAATGTTCTGTTCTTTCTCCAGTGTTTCCTTCCAAAACATTCACAGTGGTTTTCCTGACACATACATTATATAACATATTATTTACTTTCACTTTAAATTATTTGCATTTCAAAAGTTAAAAATTTTTTTCCAGTTGTGCCAAACTATAAAAAGAAAAAAAATGTCTCTAATTTATGGTAAAATACCGGCAGCTGTTCTACCATATAAATACGGTAAAATTCTGGCAGAATTTTACAGAGTAAATACGGATTTTGCCGTATTTACACTGTAAAATTCTATTTTACCATAAATTAGAGACCTTTTTTTTTTTTTTTTTACAGTGCAGACATATTTTAGGGGAATTTCAACCTTTAATCCTGTGTTTAAAACTTGCAGAAAACCAAACTTAGGCAAGATTTTAGCTTTTCAAACAATAAAAGCACAGAGAGGTCAGAAAAATATAGAAAATAAATGAAAAATGCATTTTCTGTTGAATATATATATATAATAAAATTATTTGTAAATGGATCTAGGTTTTCTCCACCTCTCTGGAAGACATAAAGACACTTTGCGGCTTTTTTCCCCATCTTAAGTTTTAACTTTATTATAAAACATAAAAATAACTCGACCTTCTGCTTATTCTCTTTCAGTTTGGTAAAGGTATTTACTTCGCAGATATGTCGTCAAAAAGTGCCAACTACTGTTTTGCCAACCAGAGCCACCATGTTGGACTGCTGCTGCTGAGTGAGGTGAGAAAACGTGTTTTCAGAAGATTTGTACTTCAAAACGGTTTTGATGTTTATTTGTTGAGCCTTACTTCATTTTGGTTGCTTTGCCCACATTTTGCACCCAGCTCTGTCATATGTATCAACATGTTTGTCTGCAGGTGGCTTTAGGGGACAGTAACGAGCTGCTGGACGCCAACTATGAGGCCCATAAGCTGCCTGCAGGAAAACACAGCACCAAGGGCCTGGGTCTGACCGGACCAGACCCGAAAAACGCCGTCACGCTGTTAGTCTCGTCACATCTCCACACTTAACTTAAAATCTGCCATCAAGCAAAGAAATTTACAGTCTATTACATTTTATGTTGTTTGAGTTAAAGCGCTTCAAAAGTATCAGTGAAGTTAAACAAGTTTATCTGTGCAGCACATTTCAGCAACAAGGCAGTTCAAAGTGCTTTACGTCATAAAAACAGAAAAACACAAAGTCAGACAAACCATCATATGGTCAGCAATTGAGAAAACCAGTAAGAAACATTACTGGTTTTCGTTTCACATCAAAAATGTTGATCAATGTTTCATTTATTATGTTTAAAAAAGAACTCTAAACAGCTTTGATTTAAAAGAAATCAGTGTTACGGGTATTTTACATTTTTCTGGAAGTTTGTTCAGGATTTGTGGGGCATAGAAGCTGAATCCTGCTTCTCCATGTTTGGTTCTGGAGACACAGAGCAGAACCAGAAGACCTGAGAGGTCTGGAAGGTTGCTATGACAACAGCAGATCTTTAATGTATTGTGGTGCTAAACTGTTCAATGATTTATAAACTAACAGTATTTTAAAGAGATGTTCTTCAGGTGATAAAAGGCCGACTTTGTAACCGTCTTTATGTTGCTCTGAAGGTTCAGGTCAGAATCCAACCTGATTTGTAGTTTCTAGCTGTAGTAATTCAAGCTGCACACTGACTCTAGATTGTTCCTCTCTAGGTCCAAAGATGACAACTTCATTTTTTTTCTATACAAGTAAAACAACGTAATTATTAAGTATAAAAACGTAAATGCAATGTGTCTAAACCAATGACCTCTGACTCCTTATCTGTATTTTTTTTCTCCCTCAGGAACGGAGCGACGGTTCCGATGGGTCCCGGTGTTAAAACCGGGGTTTCAAACCCCAACGGCTACTCTCTGCTCTACAACGAGTTCATCGTTTACAACCCGGCTCAGACCCGGATGAGGTACCTGCTGCGGATCCAGTTTAACTACTCCTCTCTCTGGTGAAAACCAGTCCGACCTGGTCCAGTCTGGATCGCTGCCCTGTTGGGGAAATCTTACTATTCTACTGTGGGTTTGGAGATTTGAAGACACTCCTGTTGCTAGGCAGATTTCAGAAGTTTTTGTCAACTCATAAAAATCTACTTGGTCAACCGATTGGAGAATAATGTGGCAGCATTTTTAAAACGCTGTTTCTCAAAATTTTAATTCATTTATATTTCAACCAGTCTTACATTTTTATACACAAAATATTTAGTGACATTATTTCCTGATCAACACTTTGGTCAGATGCTCAACCTGATATTATGAAAGCCACAACTTCCTATTGAAGTAAATGAAAGATTTAAATCAAACAAACTTCTAAAACTTTATTTTTGCCTAGTTTTTTAGTGCAAACATTTTAGTACGATTCAAATAAGACAAAACCAACAGAATAACTTTTCAGCAAGATAAAGAAGCTTGTTTAGAGTCAATAATTCTTCAATATTAATGAAAAAATAATTCGCCTTAAAGATTATTTCACTTATAACACTGGCAAAATGTTTTGCCATAATTGGAATAATCTGTAAGTGGACCTATTATCAAAATTATGGAATTATTGACTCTGAACCAGCTCCTATATCTTGTTGAAAAGTTATAAGTTAGCTTTGTGTGCTAAGATATTTACATTAGAAAACAGACCAAAAATAATTGGTAAGATGTTGTTTTATATAAGGAAGCCCATCAGTGCCTCTTTAAATCATTTAAAGGCTTTAAATGATTACAACATTTGGAGCCTTTCTGCTCTAAAAATGACCAAAAGCCTTAAAGCTGACAGATCTGATTATTAAAAGCTCAGTTTGGATGTAAAAGAGTCGATTGTAAAACTTCTTATCATATTTCCGTGCTGCTGCAGCCGACTAAATTATTTCAAAGTTACTTCCTGTTCAGTAGAGCTAAACTTTGGGTGTATTACACATGACAAATGCTGCCTGAGATGAAGAAAAAAAAAAAAAAGCGTTTGCACTATATTTCATTCATGTTTTTCTTTGTGGGATTATCCTGCTTATAATAAAAACAGTTTATTACCTTTGTTTTGTTTTTTTTTGTTTTTTTTTGCTCATTCTCTAAAACACATGTAACCTCTGTGATAAAATGCAGTAAAGAACTGCTCTAGACAATATGGATGCAATAAAATACAGCATAACAATGCAAAATAATCAATTGTGATGTTTATTTCTTGGTGTAAATAAAAAAACTGGGAAAATTGTATTGTTCTGCTGAGTTATATACATTATAATGCTTGTTATTTCAGTTTAGGTAGTGTTTTTACACAGCATCACCTCCTCCCCAGCAGGTAGAGGAAGATGAGGATTATGTCCAGGTAGATGGTGAGAGCAGCGTTGACGTATTCCTCCGGATTCAGCCGGTAGCTCATCTTTCCCATCATCAGCTGACAGTCGACCAGCAGGAACTGAGCCAGAAAGGGAAAGAGTTAAGCAGGGTGAAAAATTAGAGAACCGCACCTTTATTATAAAAACACTTTCCTTATTTATGCAAACAGCATTCCTAGAGTCACTGGAGATATTAATAATGTTTCCCTTTTTCCTGGCTGTGAGTTTTGTGAGATTTCTCACTCCTATTCATAACCATGACTGTTATTTAAAGGGGACCAGTTATGAAAAATTCACATTTTGGACGTTTTTATACTTCAATTTTGGTCTCTATTGTTTCTAAAAGCGGCCTAAGAGATAAAAAAAAAAAAAAAAAAAACACCCAGCCATTTTTTATGCAGAGTATGTTAACTTTTTTGGAGAACCTCCCAACTGTTAAGCCACAATCTAAAAGCACTGCGCCGTTACCTAGCAACCCCAGCCCAGTCCTAATCCGTTACCTGGCAACGCCAGCAACCTAAGCAGAGTTTTGTTAATGTCACACGTACTTTGTCAAGGATTTGGAAAGTAACCTTTCAGTTTTAGAAAAGTAATTTAATTTATGTTTATTTATGTCTATACATTACAAGAAAATAACCTGTAAATTGTTTAAACATCACTTGCAGGTTCTGTGTAAGTATCATGTATTTGAAAGTATGGAGTGCCATAAGGGATAAAATTTTATAAATAAATACATAAATGTTCTGATTGTCTTGTATGTAAAATTCCCTGCTCTTACCAGAGAATACAGCAGCGCTCCAAGACACCCATAAATGATGCTGGCGACATGGGAGTAGTAGAAGGTGCAGATGAACCCAAACATGATGACATCTACAGCCATGATCAATAGGACACCGTAATAGATAGTGAAATCATAACGAGTCTGAAAACAGAACAGAAGGACACCCAGGAAGCTCAGTCAGATGCTTCAGTGAAGTTTAGTGCTGCTGGATGCAAACCAGGATCTGAAAACTGGCAATCGATGTTGATTAAAGGGATATATGATTGTTTTTTTTAATTATTTTTTTTAATTATGTTTTTTCAATTGCACTTTTCTTTAATCTGTTTTTAATAATTAAATTATTACAGTCTTATGTTACAAATCTTCCCTTAATGTACTGTTTCTTACTCTTATTTCATTGTTTTTGTATTTTTTTATTTTTGTGTGATTCCATTTTGCTGTTGGTTTATCTGTTCTATTCAATTTCCATTCAAGGAAGCTGCAACCAAATCCTCTTATTTTAAAATCCAACCTAAAATAACCAACAACATACATTTTACCAATCAATAAATCAATCAATCACGTTTTAAAAACTTAATTACACCTAATAAATGAAGTTGCTAAATGTCTATATGATAAGCTTTGTGTATTATTAGCTTGATTTGTGCATCCTATCCATCAGTATTTTGGTTCATTTTACAGGGATGTATTATTAAAAAATATATCATTTTGTGCTTCCATTTGTGTTTCAACTGCTTTCTAAAAACAGCCTGGCGATAAAATCTGGCGATAAAAAAATCTGGCGATAAGTCAAGGTTTAAAAAACCTCCGGAATATAGCGACACAAATCAGCGGGCGCTGCGCCGTTCCCTAGCAACACCAGCGAAGCCCAGCCCGTTACCTAGCAACCCCAGCAAATCCCAACTGAAAAACTAGCAGCATTCTAAATAGGCCTTAAACGGACCTCAAATCAATATTATGAATAATAATTTTCCTTATTTAGGGCATTTTTGAATGAAAAAGCACCGCTAACCTGTGATGCGAAGACGATAATGGCAAGAGAGATGACCAGCGTCACCGCCATGGTGATGACGACAGCGGTGGTGTTGTGGAAGGAGGCGACGGTCCCCACCATGTAAGACAGACTTAGGGTGACGATAACCTGCAGCCACAAAATTCACTTCATAACACACCTTGCTTGTTGTGTTTGCTTTGCAGCTTTACTGTTTGACCTATTTATTTAGTTAGTTTGCTCCGAGAGAAATATGCCCACCAGCCCCACGAGGTTCCAGGGGTGACGCCGGCTGAAGGACCGACAGCAGCTGAGGGTGAAGGCCACCACGATGAAGACGATGAAGGAGCTGAGGTAGGCCCACAAGTTGTTCTGCACGGCCTCCTTCACGACGCTGGAGAAGGTGAACACGCAGACGACGCTAAAGGTGAACAGCAGCTGGAGCGTCAGGATGCTAAACACCTGCAGGAGAAAGTAAGAGACGTTTGTATTAGGGCTGGGAGTTTACCGCATTCATTTCGATTTATTGACTACATAGATTTTAACGCAATTAATTTTCTACGCACCTGAGCCGGAACCTTTGTGTTGCGTTTCTGGTACGCCCGTAAATCTGTCGCACAAGCGACATCCCGTAAACCGTTGATTTGAAAATAAATGAAACTTTAGTCTTTATTTACCATAACTTTGGTAAATAAAGACCAAATGTGTGATGGTATGATTGAGCGACTTGAATCTCAAGATGATTGGTTAATTCTGTGGTTTCTAAAAGGATTTATTTTCTCCTTTGAAAAGAGAGGAATTATGTTCTCACACATCTCAGAATAATAGACACACATTTTACATAAATGGTAGAAACTTATTTTTGGCCCAAAGACGACATTAAATGTCAATATTACTTTAATCGGTTAATCTAAAAAGAACTAGTTCCATTTGCAGATTATTTCACTTATAGAAAGACATTTTACTCGTGTTTTAAGTGAAATGTAACTAGTACTTTTTTATATCAATATTAAGGAATTATTGACTTAAAACAAGCTCCTGCATCTTGCTGAAAAGTTACTTGTAAGTAGTTTTATTTATTTCAAGTGTACTCAGATATTGCAATAGAAACTAGACCCAAAAAACTTGGTAGGATTTTGAGTTTTTGCAGTTTAATAATTAAACATTTGAGTGGAGACAAACCTTTCTAGCAAAACCTCTCCTCACGGTTTCGTCATCAAACGACAACGACACAGAGATAGTCGTGTCCGATGCGATCTCTGGGTTTATGTCTTGGAAAGACTGGTATCCGCTGACGACGGCCTCACTTTGGCACGGACCGTACCCGACCGGGGCCGCGGAGTAAGCTGGAGGCGGCTGGTCGTGGTAGGAATACGGCGGAGGCGAAGACGCGCCTGGAGGCGGTTTAGGTATGAGCGGCTCTCTTTGGTCGGCCATCTTGGCTGAAACAGAAAGATTCATGGATTCACGTGAAGGAGAAGTAGTTTGCCAGCAGAAGTGAGTCGATTAGGCTGGACTCTCCTTTTGCATCAATGTGGAAAAGAAATACAGAAGTAAAACTTGAGCTGTGAAGAATTATGACAAAAATCAGTTTTTCAGTTCTGTTGATTAACCATAAATCTGAATTTGAACAAAATGTACCGTATTTAGAAAGACAGTAGCTACATTCTTAACTTTCAGGAAGAAATCACTGCTTTTAGAAATTTACAGTAAATTAAACTGAAAGCAATCATCTGTTTATCATCAAAAGAAGCATTTTGTAAATTAAAAATCCTTCACCCATCATTAAATTTGGACGTTTCATTTAAAATTGTCCCATTGTGATAAATTTCAGCTGAAAACAGGCATTTTTGTTCAACATGTCTTTTAATTCTACAATAAATTATTTTTTTAATTTATTCTACTGTCTCTTGTGTTGTATCCATTTTTACTAAAGTTAAAAAAGGATAAAAAAAACACTTTGCTTAACTTTTATCTCAGTTAAGCAAAGTTAGCCACTCGCTAGTGTGCATCGTAAAGGAGTATAATAATAAGTGTTTATTTTTAATAAAACAATATATAATTCTTTAATATATATATAATGAAAAGAATGACTTAGTTACAAGAGTAATCTTGTTTATCTACATAATTTTTGTAGAAGAGAATTTTACCTGAAGATAAAAAAAAAACAAAAAACCAATTCAATAGATTTATTTGGCTCAATCTCCCATTTGCACATTTTTCCCCTCGTCTCCACTAGAGATGTTTCTAAATGTTCAGTTTTTAGACCTGTTTTATCCTTAAATTTGGGTTACATAGAACTAAAACTGTCCATCATTTTTGCATCTTTTCCCCCTTTTGTTTCTATCAAAGAGAAATCTCAGAGGAATTAATGTAGTTTGTGGTTTAAGTTGCCCTTTGAGATTTCTCTGTAAAACTTTGCAGCATTTTAAAATGTTTCAGAAAAAAACAACCGATCCTCTTACCTCTTCTGAGCGGCTCCACAGGTTGAAGCGGTTCTGCTGTTTGAGGAGGAAATGATAAAACTCTCTTTAAAGAGACTTCCTGTCTCTTTAAAGTGATGCAAACAGTTTCGATCTGATGACTCGCCCCATGTTAACTCAGAAAAGACTGGCAGCCATCACACTGACTACAGATTCATGAAGGTTGCGACTTTCAGAGATTTTTATCTGTAAAGGCATAAAAAAAGGAAATAAAGAGGAAAATCCTTGTATTATCAGAACTTATTACCTTTACCATCGTCTCTAAGTGGTATCCATCTACCCAGCCATCATTTTTTCTTATTTAAAGCAAGATAATTGTAGAAAATTGTGCCTTTTTATTCACATAAAATGCTTATGTGATTAAGCATAAGCATTTTGCTTAAGATCTAAGATGTTTTAGATCTTAAAAAGATCTAAAACATCTGGAGAAGTGAGGCTGGAACTGTAGGGACGCTCTTGGCTTAGCCAGGAATACGTTTTAAGGATAAATTATTAATTGGTTGTAATTTTGTTGTCACAGCTCAGATTTTGGTTCTGAACTCAAACAGAAACTGAAAGTTAGGATGGAGCTGACTAATTGCTGAAATAAACTTTGGTTGACACATTTTTTTTAACTTCCTGTTTGTTGATGGTTATTGATCTAGTAGATAAACAAAACAAAAAGCAGCCAACAGACTTTAAAATGCATCTTTTCCTACTGTATCAAAGTTTTTTTCAGTTTTTCTGCTTCCTTTGGCTCAGGCACAGATATCAGATTACACATCTACCCTCGGTTTCCTTTTTCAGTTGATTTGCAATCTTTTCCTGTTGCAGAAGCAAACTCAGAAAGTTGTTGCTGCTGTTAAAGTCTGAATTTTTTACACACCCAAGGTCACAATTGCTCATGCAAATTCATTCAAATATATGTTAAATAAAGCAATACTGACAACTGTATAAAGACAATAATATAATGGGAAAGGAGTACTTACATTTCATCAAATTATTGCATCTAAAATGTATTAACTCGTTTAGTGCCCAGTAAAATGCAGAAAGGCAGCAGTCACCTGACGATGGATGGATAGATTAATAATCTGTAAAAAAAAATCATGAGTTTATTTCAAAAGTATGGAGTTATAAAAAAAACAACTTGCAAGTAACTTTTCAGCGGAATAGAGGAGCTTGTTTTAAGTAAATAATTCCTTAATATTGATGAAAAACAGCAAGTTCATCTAGCAGATTATTTAATTTATAACAAGACATTTACCATGTTAAAAGTGGAATAATCTGCTGGTGGAGCACTTTTTTAATCAATATTAAGAAATTACGGACTTAAAACAAGCTCCTATATATTGCTGAAAAGTTACTTATTTCAAGTGTATGAAGATATTTGCATGCTAAACCAGAAGTTATAATTGATGCTAAGCGACGACATCTGGACTTTTCTGTTTGAAAGATCAGTCAGTTCGCATATTAGATGTTTTCTGGTTTTAGCTGGACTCTTATGACACTGACTGGGTTTGATGATCGTCATAAACAACTGTTAGAAACAGGAAGGAGGAGTTAACCTAAAAACAACTAGCAAGTCTGCAAAAACATGGTTTCCTCTTGGTCATATCTGTACAGACAAAGCAAACCATAGATTTATGCTCTGCAGTTAGTTAGCTGGAAGGGTAAAACTGAAAGTTCGGTCTTGACATTAAAGCACAAAGAGGAAATGGCTGAGGGTCATTGTGTGGTTGGGTAGACTCGAAACAGCTGCTGCAGAGCAAACCTACACAGCAACAACAAACACAAAGCAGATATACGCAGCCCAGGCTTCCCATAACCCGACTGATGGTATCTTTCACTAGAAACGAACAAACGAAGAGCCGAGTTTTATAAATGTCACCAACGCATCTCATCAGATTCTTCAATGGCATTGTGTTTTTTTTTTTTTACTATCATTTAGATTCTATCTGCAGTTTGAAAACTACAAACCTTTCAGAGGCAAATCATGTTCCTAGAAGCTGTTAATCAAAATGCTTGGCTATTGTTGACAAACATGGAGGGAGACCAAAGAAATTTAATTCTAGATCACCATGAACACACCGACCCCTCAGCGAAACATGGCGGTCCACAGAACGTGCCGAGAACCAGGGTTTAGAACCGCTGGTTTAAAGAGAAGCACATTCATAAGTTAAAATGGTCCAGTCAAAGTCCAGACATAAACCCTAATGTCTCTCTATCCAGACAGAGTTTGAGCTGTTTGGTAAACAAGAAGGGCCAACGATTACTAATACGGCAGAGTATTGGGGCCATGCTAAGAAAAAAAGAAAAATTACAGGAATAAAGTCAAAATATTATGAGAATAAAGTCATAAAATTATAAAAAATAAAGTGGCACAAGAATAAAGTTGAAATAACACAAGAACGGAATCATAGTATTAGAATTTTTGGTTAAAACCAATAAAATTGATGTACCGTATTTTCCGCACTATAAAGCACACCGGATTATAAGGCGCACCTTCAATGAATGGCCTATTTTAAAACTTTTTTCATATATAAGGAGACGCTACAGTAGAGGCTGGAGTTACGTTATGCATCCACTAGATGGAGCTGCACTCAAGGGAATGTCAACAAAACAGTCCGACTCCTGTCAGCGGTCAGGGAGGAGAGCCTTCCGCGACTGGGCCGGGGCGTGGCCGGACGATGATCACCCTTCGCGCACAGCATGTTGGTGGAGAACGTGGTGCTAAATGACCTGCAGACGACCTGATTCTAGACGGTCGGTAGGTAGATAGGTCAGTCAAACTTTATTAATAGATTACAAACAACGTTCTGCCAACTATCCCAGCATGCACCGCGCGCTTCTTCTTCTACAGGCGAAAATGAAGTTGGCACCTGCTTACCGTAGTTGCTAGACCTGTTGTGGCTCAATATTGGTCCATATATAAGGCGCACTGTCAGCTTTTGAGGAAATTGAAGGTTTTTAGGTGCGCCTTATAGTGCGGAAAATATGGTAAATGTAAAAAGTACAGTGTAGTAATTCCAATTTTAGAAGTACATTTTTTCCAAAATGTTACTCTAGTAAATGCAACTACTACCCAACTCTGCAGATAAACTGATATTTTAACATCTTTTACAGCTCAATATTTGTGTATTTTTGATTATAAATCTGATGGTTTCAAACAAACACAAAGCAAACGATTTCTCTCACACATATTTATTGTAAAAAATACATATAAAAACAACTTCTGAGACATACAAAAGATCAGAGCTTAGAAACAGTATAATTGAACAGACAAGGACCAAGCCATTTTCTTGAATTGCATTACATATTTACAATTTAATAATAATAATAATAATAAATAAAGTTCAATTTGTTTTTATACCAGAGTCAAGGCAGATTGTCCATATCCAGAGGATGCAGATTCAGCCGTTGTGACCCATTTTTAAAACTCTCTCATCTAAAACACGGAGCCCCGTGTTTCAGAACCAAATCTTTGAGGGACGCCTTTCAGAAAAAGAAAAAAAAAAAGAAAAGAAAAATATACACCATCCTCGGTTGGAGAACACAGAGAGCATTTAGCTAGCATTGGTAAAGAAATAAAAACTGAGGTATTGCACCACACAGCTTAGAGAGGGTAACAGAGTAAATGAGAGTAATTTAGGGGGGTTAAATCCAACCATCATGGCCATAAACAAACACCCTCCATCCCACCGCCCAGCCAAAGTATACGACATCATAACTGACCTCTACAACGAACGCAACGCCACCTCGACCTCTGCACACGCTCACACAACGCTCCCAATGCACAGACTCACTTTTGGCATCTTTTTTTTTTTTTCCTTTCTCCATTTTTAAAATTCTCCACTATATATTTATATGCTTTAATATAAAAAGAGAAACATGCACCGCGCTGCCCACTAATGGTGGGGCGAGTCATAGCACCTCAGACGGGGAGAGAGCGGGGAGGAAATGAAAGAAAACTGGGACTAATCCAACTATTTTCACCAAAATTGTCAGCATTAGAAGTAACCGCACAACAAAAAAATATATTAAAAACTGAAATCACCAATATGTTGATTTTTTTTTTTTTTTACCAACTCAGCAATAAGAATGAATTCTGATTTTTATGGGGTTGTAAATCCAAAACCTCCTTATTAAACAAAAGGCATCCAGTTTGCTTAACCTTTTGGGCTGGATTGAATAATACTGAGAGCATAAAAAAAGTTTTAAAACGTCAAATAAAGGCAGATTTTGGTGAGCCAGGTTGTACTGTAGAGTATAAGTCAATGAGTAGATGTGGTCCTGGTTACCATGACAACATAAGGGAACCAGAAAAGTTGCAAATACGCTGCAAAAACACAAAATCTTACCAAGTATTTTGGTCTAATTTCTAGTGCAAAAACCTTAAAACAAAACTAACTTACAAGTAACTTTAGCAAGACATAGGAGATTTTAAGTGAATAATTCTTTATTATTTATGAAAAAGTTCTGGTTCCACTGGGAGATTATTTCACCTATAATATGACATTTATTCTAAGTTTTAAGTTAAATAATCTGCCAGTGGAAATAGTACTTATCGACTTAAAAAATGCTAAAACATACATCTGAAATAAAGACAAAACTAGCTCACATGTAACTTATATATTTGTGCTAAAAACTAGACCAAAAATACTTTTTTTTTTGCAGTGTAACATTTTGTAAGCAGATTTTTATTTAAAAGTAATAAATTATAATTCTCAAATTTTGGCCTGAGGGCCTCACAAAATCAATCCAGGAGCCACAAGTGGCCCCCAACCTCTACTTTGAACACCCTTGCTCTAAAACTGAACTGTCCGTTTCACGGTTCTGTTTCACTGAACCGTGAAACAGATGAAAAGAAATCAAGTTGTTCCGCTGGCTCAATTCAAGAGCCCAAAAAAAGGCAAATCAGTACAAAAAAGGCAAAGGAAAGCCACTTGACACATTTAGCAATAATCACGACAATATGTCAGCCAAAAATGCTCAAAATAAAAAGGCAGGGTGGGAAAGGAAGGGGGTGCCTGCTGCTTATGTAATTATTAACCATCAGCTGTCCATCGCCCCCAGTGCTGTGAAGAGGAGGCAGATGCCACATGGCGTAAACATGCCCCCAAAAATCTGTCCATTTGTCCCGGCGTGATCCGGCAAAAAAAAAAAAATAGACAAAAAACCCAGAGATTATTAAAAAAAAAAAGAAAGAAACCGCATTCATAGAAAGTACCAACCAACCTCGCCAACCAACCAGACATCTGCGAAGTTTACAACAAACACAAACACACTTTAATGTATATACAAACAAACAGGACAAATCCACTGCTCTGTCGCTCACCGTCATAACAGGAAAGAGCTCCAGCTGGCGCCAAGGCGGTGCTACTGTCCATATCTTCCTGAACAATCTCCATGGTAACAAGGAGACGAAACTGGCCGACTTTAAAAGAAACAAAACACAAAGGCCCAAAACTTCCCCTGAAATGTTTAAAGGTAACAGAAAGCAAGAAAAATAATAACAAAAAACAGAAAGAGAGTAGCAGCAGCCCCCTTTCCACCACAAACAGGTCCTCATCGCATCAGAGCAGAAATACACGTAACAGCTGAATATTTGGTTAATTTGGGGGGGGGGGGGGCAGCAAAGAAGAAGAAACATTCATCGGATGTAGGACTTGTAACAATACTTTGTTTTTGTTTGTTTTTTGCAAAAATACTTGATAAAATTCAGAGACAGAAACACGCAGGAGAGGCGCCGGTCACTGAAACTCCATCTGGTTTTCTTAGATGATAATATTTAAATGACCCCCGGTGATACAAGTCCACACACACACACACACACACACACACACTCACAGACGGACATCTCTGTTATTAGACGGAGCAGCTGGTTTCTACGTCGGCGTTTGGCAGGTCGAGTTTAAATCGATAGAGGAAGATCCCGCTGACCTTTTACATCGGAAAAGGAAATATGAATTTTGCTCGTTCAATTCTTGATTCTTATTGTGGTTTTGTTGGGATTCGGTGTAGTCTCCTATAAAAACACAGAAAAAGAGAATATTTAACTTCAACTTCTCACACTGCAAAAACACCAAATATTACCAAGTACTTTTGGTCCATTTTCCAGCGAATATTTCATTTTTCAGTCATTTTTTCTTTGCCTGTCGCAGATCTGTGCCAGAAGAACCAAAATTTAGGCAGGTTTCTTCTTGCATCCTTGATTTTATTCAGTAAAACATTTTACTATGTTTGTGTTGCAGCTTCAGTTTGCTTTGAATAGTTATGCAACTTCTAGTTGATTCAATTTTACCTTTAAAAATTGAGGAAGGAGTTTTGTTCACCACTGATTTGAAAAGTTAACAGCCTTTTGTTTCTTCTGCGCTTGCAAAAACACAAAACCTTACCAAGTATTTTCTACAGTTTCTAGTACAAATATTTTGATACACATAAAAGAAAATCTAATTTAAAACTTTGTAGCAAAGTATAAGAGCTCACTTTGTCAATAATTCCTTAATGTTGAAAGTTTTAGTTCAGTGGAACTTGTACTTTTTAATCAATATTAAGGAATTATTTATTTCAAACAAGCTCCTATGTCTTGCTTAACAGCTACTTTTAAGTTACTTTGTCTTATTTTAGGTATGCTGAGACATTTGCACTAGAAACTAGACAGAAATACTTTGTAAGATTTTGTGTTTTTGCAGTTCATCTCAGTAAATAGTGTCATCATCAGTAAGTTGCACACTGAGGTTAACGGCATCTCTGAGCAGCAGAGGAGGATGAAGCACTTCCTGTTTTTAAGTAATGACTGTAAAGCAGAGAAAGTAAGTTTCTCTGCTTTACAGCTGGAGTCATGTCGGTGGAGAAATCCAACAGGTTTCTCTTTAATAAGACATAAATAAATTGTCCTTATAGCAGCCCAGCTTCCAGTCTGTGAAGGTTCATGTTTGTCGTTAAGTTCAGTGAACTTTAGCTTTGCGGAGGTTTATCCCACCAGTCGTTAAAGTTTCAATATCTGCTTTTAAAATTATGACTTTGACTTGAGTCACTGTCTCATCAAAGTGAGAAAAGATGAGGCAATCCCCATAATTTCAGATCAAGTTGATGACGTTTAAATTATAGAACGGGGAAGTGGGTGAGAAAATATTTTAATGACATCAAACCTGTTATTTTTGCTGCTCAGCTGCTGACATGAGCAGGCAGACAGACGAAGCTGCTGGTCGGATGAGTCATGTTTTTAAATAAATAAGCGCTTTAGGTTGAAAAAACAGCTAGAGTCAATGATGTTATTTTATTTTTTTACCAAATGAAACTTGCAGAATGTATAATAAAACACAAAATGCGATGAAGATGTTAAAGTGTTAAAATCAGTTCAGTAGCAGCAGCAGCAGAATCTCACTGAAAAATGTCAGGAAAAAACCTTTAATATAAAACATTCACATTCAGACAAAATGTCTTTAACTAAATTATTGTTAGCAAACAATTTCTATAAATGGATATATATGAACTTTTTAAAAAATTTATTCTGATTACATTTTTCTGACTGTCTAGGAACTTTTAATCCATAAGTCTTTGTTTCTCTGGGGTGTGAATATGATGCGACACCGGCCTCACTTCCCGATGTTATGTCTAGCAACCATGACAGCACTAAACACAAGCTAATTCATTAAATTAATTAATTTTACACGTAAATATATTAAGAAAAACATCTAAATGCACATTTAAAAAACTTAAACAGCACAACCAGTTTGTTACCTTTTGTGGTGCCAGATTGTAATTTATTTTCTTTAGAACTGTCCATAATAACATTTAGACTTTATCTGCCAGAATGAGGGTGGAGAACCCTTTCTTTCCTACCATCACAAACGTAAACATGCACTTTGCTGAGCCTCACTCTTCAACTGGAACTTTATTCTGAGCTTCTCAAAAACAAAAACAATCTATGTGGTTTTGACATGAACCAAAGGACGAATATGTAAAAAATAAATAACATCCAGTCTGCTTTAAATTATAGTAAAAAAAAAAAAATCTGTCATGCTGTGGGCCTTTTTTATTTTCTGAGAATCTTTGCCAAAATTTATAACACCAAGAACTTATTTAGGAATTTGGTATTTAATCAGGATAACGATGAATTGTTCCAAAGTTAAAGGAGAGAGCTCCACATTGAGCCACAAATTAAAGGACAATAGTATTTAATTGTATATAAAACCAAAACTAGCTGTTTGTTTTAACACAGTAAAATGCCAGTTTTTCTACATTTCAGTGTGAAATTATGCAATTGGATTATAACAGTATTTATATTTTCAAGGATTTTTAAAAACCCGGCAAAAAAAAAAAAAACACAAAAATCTTACCAAGAATTGTTTGTCTCTTTTCTAGTGAAAACATCTCAGTTCACTTGAAATAAGACAAAACCAAAACGTTCCAGTAAGAAACAGGAGCTTGTTTTGAGTCAATAATTCCTTAATATTGATCTTAAAAAAGTACATTATTTCACTTACAACATGGAAAAAACATCTTGTAATAAATGAAATAATCTGATGTGCATCTATTAGATTTTCTTTATTTCAAGTGTTTTAAGACATTTGCAGTAGGAACTAGACCAACAGTGCTGAGTAAAATTTGCCAACATCTCCAGACATGTCTGATCTGAGTCACCGGCACCGTGGGCTCACCTGAGTCGATCTGGTCGCTGGGCTGGAAGCGCCTGACCTGCGAGTCAATCGAAGGGATGCTCGGGGCAGCAGGGCTTCACCTTGGACCAGGAGTCGATGCAGCTGCACAAACACAAAACGCTCTGATTAGCCGACGCTAATGAGGCAAACTGGGGAGTCGCCCACAAGCTTTCATCCACTTCCTGAATGGCTGGTTAGAAACCAGGAAGCCGGTGGAGGGCAATGAAAGATAAAACCACCCACTCCTGCTTTTTGATTAAGAAACCAAACAAGTAAGAGATATAGCTGCATTTTTAGCGCAAACGCAACATTTGTTTGCTTTAGAAATGTCTGCAGGAACTGTTGCATTATGTCCTCATAAAACCACAAATTAGAGAAGCTAAACAATGACAGATAAGAAAGGGAGAAGTGAGTGAAGATATGTAATTTTATCACGGTATTTCACAACAACAGACTGGATGTTGTTTTTTTTTAATACATTATGCATCCCCGATAAACTGAACCAAGGCTGGATGTGATTTAAATCGTGTTTATTTTATATATTATCACGTGTCCAAAGTCTTCATCGTCAAAACTAAAATCACAGCAACTTTTTGTTGTCATTTTAAACTTTTTTCTCACCAATAAACTAAATGTGCAATATTTTAAAACACCTAAGTTAATATCGGTTATTGGGCATAACGACAATATTAATACCAGATATCAATGTTGGCCCAAATTGTGCATCCCATAAAGAAGAATGTTCTTTTTTTAGTGTGTTCATAATCCAGTTAACGATCAATCAACTACTAAATTAGTTGATAAATATTTCAGTAATCGATTAATCCAATTAATAATTTCATCCCCAAAATGTACTCTTAAACGCTCGTTATATTTAGTAAAGTTTAAAAATTAATTTGGGTGAAGCAGACAGTTTTCAACAAATGTCTCTGGATAAAAGTCGCTCTAATTATTATAAAAACTTTGTGTTATATTTGAAAATAGGAAAAATCTGTGTCAGTAACAATTTTACTCTGATGAAATAAAAAATAAATCTAACTGCATCAAAATGGCCCCCGAACTGCACCTTGGACATGCTTGCCTCATACATTTTCTTCTGTTATCAAACATGACGAATCATGTAATCATTTTCAGCTGTTTCACTCTCAGATTCGCTTCCTTCCCCGAATCTCTACTGCTCCATTGGGAAAATAAAAAATTTCCTTCACGCAATCCAACGGCCACACCTTGAAGGAAAAAAAAAGAAAGTCTGGAGGCGAGCCCGCCTGCGACCAGAGCCGAGGTGAAGTCAGTCATCTGTCTGATCTTGTGCAAAATTCCCTGGAAAGTAGCGCTAAATTCCAACGCGCTCAGCTTTTCCGTGTGAGGAAATTACATGGACTTAGAGCCCGGGATGTTCTTGTATCTGCTTGCCTCGACGGCTCAGCTGTGAGGCAACTTTGACGGAGGGAAATAAATAAATAAAACAGGAGCAGAGCGGCGTTATCCCTGCAGAAGCTCGCACTTAAAAATCTGAAGGAGTCGGCGACGGCTGGAAAACGAGGGGGAAATCCAAGAGAGGCTAATTACAGCACACTGCGAAACGCCGGCGTAAATGTGCTGGAACCAGGCAAACACACCAGAGGTCCTTTAACAGCTTCAAAATTATTAAACCTCCAAGAGGTTTCTGAACATCTGAGGGTGTGCCGAGTTCACATGCAACGACGTTTTAACAGTTGGAGAAACATTTGTGGTTCAGTTTAAAGCTGTGAAATTCTAGAGAAGCACATTTGATTCTCTAATGATGATCCAAGTTTAATTTACAAAGCTTTTAAGATAACTTCAGAACAACCAGTCACACTGCAAAAACAGGATCTTACCAAGTAACTTCAGTCTAGTTCTGGTGTAAATGTACACTTGAAATAAGACAAGCTTGTCATCGAGGCTTAATAAATTAACTTAAAACACAGGAAAAATATCTTGTTATAAGCAAAATAATCTGCCGATGAAACTAGAACTTTTTAAGGAATTATTTACTTAAAACAAGCTCCTATTTCTTGCTGAAAAGTTACTTGTAAGTTAATTTTGTCTTATTTGAAGTGAAACTAGACCAAAATTACTTTAAGATTTTGTGTTTTTGCAGTGCAGAAGAAACGAATACATTTCCAAGTCAGTGGCGAACCAAACTCCTTCCTCATTTTTTAAAAGCGTAGTTTTGTTGCATCACCTTCCCAAAAGGTAAAATTAAAGCAATTAAAAGTTGCATAACTATTTACGGCAAATTGAAGCTACAACACAACCGCAACGAAGGTTTTCTTCAAAGATTTGCTTTGGGTTTAACCAGGATCCTTTAATGACTTATAATTTGAGATAATTTTATGTGAAGTGCTATTTAGAGATGTAATTGTTATTTAATAGAGATTTAGTTAATATGTGGTTCAACACAGACTATTTGTGGACCTCTAAGAAGAGATTATATATCCAATGTATATCATAGCTATTATGTTTGATTCGTTCATCCATTATTTTTATTCAACTGAATAATACCTCTGGCTCCTTCTTGCCTTCAGATTAGCCAAATATAGAAAAGGTTTAACTGGATCAACAGAGTCTGGAGAAGAAATGTGCTGTTGACCCAAATCGCATGTTGTGAATGCTAATGCTAGTTAGCATAGCCAGTGACGACAGCGGATAATGGTTCTCCTCTAATGTTTAGTTTCTCCATCATTCGCACATTTAGCAGCGACTACATGAGGGTGATTGGTTGTTTTTGCATTTCTTCAGACTGTAACAGCAGCTGAGGGAGGAGAGCAATCTGTGCACAGATTACCTGTCTCATGTTAAACTGTTACAAAATGGAGACAGTTTTAACAAATATGTCAAAAAACATATTTTGGTAAAAGTTACAAACTGAAGGAGAATTAACTAAAAATAATCTTTAGCTGCAGCCCTAAAATCTGAAAATTTATCTACCAGGTGTTTTTGTCAGAGGTGGGCAGCGTACCTAATAAATGTTACTAAAGTAAGAGTCGCAGTACATCAATATACTTTTACTCAAGCAAATGTAAAACATAGCCATCCAGGTAATTACTCAAGTAAGAGTAATAAAAGCATTTGGTAAAATGTTTACTCAAGTACTGAGGAACTGATCAAACTATCAGTCATTTAATATCAGACAGATCAAAATATATATATATGTTTTTGGTACTTTAAGAACCAAAATAACAATAATTCATGTAACACAAAATCAAGCGAGAGAAAATGTTTCCAAATCAGTTTCTTTCAATAAAAAAATTATAAAACTTTAACAAAAGCTGCAGGTGTGTCTGTGTCTGGTGAATCTTTGGTAAAAACATGTTTGTTTTTCATTCAGTGGGTAGAAAATAAAATACTTCATGATAAAATGACTCAAGTAAAAGTAGAAAGTTCAACATAGTCAAAATACTCTTAAAACAACATTTTTTCTAAAAATTTACTCAGGTAAACATAATTGAGTAAATGTAACTAGTTACTATCCAGTTCTGGTTTCTGAGAAACGTGTTAAAAACTGAAACAGTGTCCATAGACGTGCTGAACTCTAAATACCTTTTGTGGTAGACGCAGAGGCAGGCCAGCCTGGCGATGGTCTCCCCCTGCACCAGATCCTCCAGACAGATCGAGCACTCCCCGCTGTCTTTGCTCAGCACGTCCGCTGCGAACAAACGCACACACAAGGCGACAGACAGCGTCATCATCGGCCTTTAAAAACAGAAACAACGCACACACACACACACACAGCTGTCAGAGCGTCAAGTTGCTGGACGCTTACTGTTGTAAGGTAGCGGAGGAGACGTGAGGCAGCTCAGCAGGTGATCCTCGATCCGACCGCCTGGGAAAGGCTTCGAGCAGAAAGGGCAGCGAATACCTGCAGAGGGCAGAGCTGGGATTAGCACACGGCGTCACTTTGGACAGAGACGAGCAAATAAAACTGAATTCAGATGATGCTACCTCGACTGGGCTGACCTGAAATAGCATCATTCGACTGCGTGCGTCCGTATAAAAACAGTGAGTCACGCCTGAGGGAAAGCCAGCACTCAGCCATTCATGGATGTGACAGTCAGGCAGAAACAGCGCCTTGCTGCCCTACATCCCCCCCCCGCCTCCTCCTCCATCTGTGAGCCGCTGCCAGCTTGTGAAGTTGTGACCCATTTCCCTACTCTGGCTGAAGGGCTGGCCCAGGAAACCCACCACTCTGCAGCGTTGTGGATCAAAATGTCATGTTTTCAGTCACAACACCACCATCTGCTTGCATCTGATTATCCTGAATGTAGGGCTGAAACGATTAATCATGATTAATCGGCTATTGAAAGACTATTCTGTTTTTAAATCATCCAGACAGAAGGAAAGTATATTGTTGTCTTTTACCGCTCCAAAAGAAGAATAAGGGGAGGGGATTCTGACTTTTACAGGGTATTAAAAATCTGGTAGAGCTGAAACGGTTAATTGTGATTAATCGATAATTGAAAGACTGTTCTGTGTTTAAATTAGTCAGACAGTAGGTAAGTATATTGTTGTTATCACTCCAGAAGAAAAATAAAAAAAAACGATAACCAACCTCTACTTCTGACTTCAATGGAATAGCCAAAATCTGGAAGGGCTGAAACGATTAATCGGATTAATTGTGATTAATCGGTTATTGGGAGACCTTTCTGCTTTCAAATTATTCATACAACAGGGAAGTATACTGTTAAGTTTACAAAAGAAAAACCAACCACAAACCTCTGACCAGAACAACTTTTAGCAACTTTCAGAGGGGATTCTCACTATTGCGCAACAGTAAAAATCTAGTGAAACTGAAAGAAATACCTGAATTAATCATGATCAATCAGTTAATGAAAGGCTCTTTTGTTTTTAAGATATGCAGACAGAAGGAAAGTATATTATCTTTAACTGCTCCAAAGTTGTACCTCTAATTGGTGCAACTTTTAGTGACTTTTTGAGGGGATTTTGAATCTTATTGAACAGTAAAAATTTAGTAGGACTGAAATGACTAATCGTGATTGATTACTAAAACACTGTTCTGTTTTTAAACTATTCAGACAGTAGGAAAGTACATTATCTTTTACCACTCCAAAAGAATGAGAAAAACCAACCACAAAACTCTAATCGGTGCAGCTGTTAGGTAATTTCTGAGGGGATTCTGACTTTTATGGAACAGTAAAAATTTGGTAGGGCTGAAATTATTAACCAATGGTTGAAATAATGGTCAACTAACTTTGTAGTCACTTAATGGCTAGCTGGACTCAAAAAATTGTCATTTGGTGAAAGAACAACCCAGTCAAAGCAGTAATTTAGCTAAATCTGTAAAAAATAATTATAAAATTTGAACTTAAGGTGAAGAACTTTCTTCAGCGGTAAATATGTTCTACCCAAAACAGTTTGTGAAATGCCAATTTTAGCTTCACCTGGTTCAAATTCTGTGAAAAAAATCATTTAAGTATCTTTAGAAGAAGTAGTTTTATTTACATAGCACTTTTTCAGCAACCAGGCAGTTCAGTTATTAAAAAAAAGATCTGCAGATGTACCTTTTGCTACAAATAATGAGGTGTGCACTAAAGAAATGCTACATTATTGCACTTTAGGCAATAAAATGCTTATTTTCTTGTTCAAAAGAGTAATCATTTGCATGTTTTAATGTATTTCTAAAGTATGAAGAAAAGGCTTAAGAGGTTAAATTAAATACCTGCAGGACATGTAGATTTTTTAAAATCAAATTAAATTGATTGTCAAAATAATCGATTATTAAAATAATCGTTAGTTGCATGTACAGCTTCACCCCTTTTGCAAACTCATCTCCCCTCTAAAAAGGGAGAAATGCACTCGGTTGCTTCATGTTTTTAACTTGCAGGCTGGAGGATTGTCAAAGACACCTGCTGTCATACGGAAACGTGAAAGAGCTTCTGTGTCGCCACTTAAAGTTTTACGCCACTGCTCCGCTGCAGACAATGGGGTCTCTGATGGTTTGAGTCGGCATGCGAGCACGGGAAAAGAGATTAACTGTCCAGGAATGTAAATTCCCCCAATAATCCATTTTAATTTCAGACCAGGTTGATTCAGGGGGATTTTTTTTAATTGAACTAAATCCTCACTGTTTTATCAAAACGTAATTATATATCTTGGGAAAACAGGATTAAATATTCAGATAGTTTAATAATGTGGAGCATTACGCATAACCTTCCCCTCCTAGGGTATCGGTGTGATAATCTTTTTTGGAAATATTAATTTTTTTATTTCTCTAAGTTCATAAAACATCGTGCCAATGTGATATTGACAACATGTTTTTAATTTCCTCTTGTGCAATGTTTTTATTCATTATTTAGTCAGAGAAATAATGGAGTTTAAAGATTTAAACTCGTCAGGGAAGCAGATAAATTTACCTGAATTAGCTCATATGGCTAATTCTGGTACATTTACATGATTAGTTGAAGTGATCATGTTAATTAGATAAAATAACACAGACAGTGCAGTTTTCTGTTGAATCAGACGTTATTTTGTCATTGGAGGGACAGCACAGTTATTGCAAATTCAACACATCAACCTATAACTTGGCTACTTTTTATAATAAATAGTGCTATTGTGTTTTAGACGAACATTGGCTGATTGCTATGAAAGCATAAACATTCACTAGCTGCATTTAACAAACTGTTGTGTCTTAGAGAAGCACCGATCCATTAACCAGACATTGGAATAGGCAGATTTTCCCCATCCAGGCTTCAATTTAATTATAGTTTTCTCATTAAATGCATCAAAAAATAGAAACTATTTCTGTTTTAATCCTATAAATACATAGAATATATTCTTAGATGCATAGTTTCCCAGCTAGTTTTGACTTTGATAGGCTTAGATTGGTGTGGAAAATGTCAAGTATGGAAAATTCAGAATTGACTTTTTTCTTTATCCAAAAAGGCATTAAAACTAAGAAATCCCACTATTTTTGGTCCATAAACTCATCAACCACCAGCATGTGCCTGGAGGCACTTTCATTTCTGGAAATGAATCAGTGATCCAGAAATGGGTTTGCTCAATTTTTCTTTGATCAGTTTGTCTGATGTTGCGAAATATGAGTTTTCTTTATAGTTCAATAAGAACCACAACAATTTTAAACCAATGACAAACTTTGATCCACCTTTCTTCAATGATAGCTAAAAAATGGTTTCAATTTAACAACCTACAGGATGAACTTTAATGTACATTTAGTATTTAGTTGGGAAATAAAAGGTTTGGGAACAACGCTTTCTTGAACAAATAAGTATATTTCTTTTCATTGCTTAATATTCTATTGGATTCACAACTATAGGTTCTAAAATGAAAATTAAATCGGCCAAACATCAGTCCAGTATTGGCTTGAGAAAAGTCTGATCGGTGCATCTAAGCGATTATATGTTGAGTAAAAACACATTTACAGAGACTGTGAAGTTGATTAACTTGTTTGGACAAGTTAAAGAAATTACTTGGAGCCAAGTATGTTTCTGTGGCAAACATTATGAAAATTATATAACAGAGCTTCGGTTTACTTACTGCCATGTCGGTTGTTAACACGGTAAAGGCCGATCCAAGCCTCCGACACCGGCCGCTGGTGTGTGCCACGAACCCGGGCGGACCTTGCCCCGACGCTGCGGGCGGAAGAGTGCCGATTCCCGGGGAGCCTCTCGGAAAAAGTGCGGTGTGGCGTGCGGCCTGTTTCCTCCCCGGCTTGGCGTTCCGCTTCGGCGGGGGCCTCCGGGCTCACCCCGCCGTCCTCCTCGGGTTTCCCCTCGCTGTTGTTGTCGTCACCCGGAGACGCCTGGCTAATGCCGGACGGTATGCTGCGGTGATCGGCGGGGCTGCCGTCGGCGCTCGCCCCTCCATGCAGCCCCAAGTCCGAGTCGCTCCCTTCCTCAGATCGGCTCCTGTTGGCCTCCGTTTCCTCGAAGCTCACCGAGAAGTCGACGACGAGGCTGGTGGGCCTGGTACAGCGTGGTCGGCGATAGGAATCCCGCTTAGTGCCATCTTTCCCGAAGGGAGAGGGAAGCGGGTCTTGAAGGCGACTCGCTCTCGTCCCCATCTCTAGCAGCGGGCTGGCTAAACGCTGGCTAATTCAGCACACAACAAGGGGACGCGTTCACCTCAAAACGACCCTTAAAAACACGTTAAATGTCCCGACCGAAGCCTCGAGTACAAGCAGCCGCTTGGTAACGACTTCTTACTGAAGAGGAAGCAGCTGGCGGGTCGGTCTGGATGATCTCTCCCCAGCTTTTAGTCCGTCCTTTCGGTCCACATTTTCCTTTTATTTTTTGATGTGACCGTTGACGCTGCTGCAGCGGAAATGAGAGCGCGTTCACTTCCTGTTGGAGCTGCGCGCACACAAGGACAGTTACGGTACAGTAAATGTGACAATTTCCAATTTTATTGATTTAAAACGTATATTTTTCAAAAAGTTGTGTTGTGAAATAATAATAATAATAATAATAATAATAATAATAATAATAATAATAATGTACAGTAACTTTAAAGCTTCATTAATGACTTAAAACACACCAATTAGCAAACGTTAGTATAAATGCGTAAAATGTAACTAACGGACAAAAACTATCCATGAAAATGAAAATAATTGAATGAAATATGTGCGTACATTTCTACAGGTTTACTCAAAGTGACAGTATCACAACAGAAGACCAGGGGACGGTGTTTTTTGTAAATATGTAGAACATTGTTGGCTTTTACACAAAGTTTATTATAGAAGAGGAAATCTTAATGCAGGTCAGGTATTGTTTGCATTGCTACCACTAATAGTTCAGATCTCAGATCAGAGGTTTGAAGTTTTACATTATTTTTAAGGAGTGATCTAATACCGCCTAAACTGTAATGTTAAATCACGGCGGAGTCACGGTGCCATCTAGTGGATTAAGTTTTTTATTCACATTTTAAAATGAAATATATTTGTTTCATTTCCTGCGGTGTTTAAATATGTTTTCATGCAGTCATTATGACAGAAGTGTTCAAAGTGTGGTCCGGGGGCCATTTCTGGCTCTTTCACTGATTTTGTGCGGCCCAACTGCAATAAAAGAATGACACAGATTTGACCAGATGGTTGATACAGTTTTTTTTTATTATTTTCAATCAGGACAAAATTATTAATAACATAATCTTCTTATAATGACAAAAACTCACGACATAAAGTGTTTGCCTTATTATAACAGATCTTTTATAATAAGTAGAACCACATATTTTACTGAAAAACAGACTCTGCCACATTCATCACCTGTCTTCTCTGATTGGCTGATAGATGATGAGCACTACGGCTGAATTATGAATATATCTCATGTATCTGTTTACGTCATTCCCACCATGATTTTTCATGACAAACTTATTCACAGGTGATTTTAATTAAATGTTTTATTTAATGGAAACACCACAATTGCACAGAATATAGACAAAGATTTCCCCATATTTGTAATGGAAACTCAGCTACTGTTTGGTTCTGGACCAGAGTAGAACCAGAAGACCTGAGAGGACTGAAAGGTTGATACAACAGCAGCAGCAGATATTTAATGTATTTTGGTGCAAAGCCATTCAGTTATTTATAAAGTAGCAGAAGTATTTTAAAGTCTATGAGCTACAGGAAGTGTAAGGATTTTAAAACTGGGATGTAGAGGGTTCTTAGTTTCCTATACTTTCTAAAAGTTTCAGCTAAATATTTTTAATTTCTACTAGTAGGTCAGGAAGAGATGAAGCAGTGATCAGAAAGTTGCTTAACATCGGTTTAGTGTGTTTTCATATTTTGGAAGTTCATTGGAGATGTTTGCGCTGTTAAAATCTCCAAAAACAATGATTAGATAGGATGGATGTTTTTCCTTTATGAACTGTTGTCCTGATGAAACCTCTTTTCCTCGCCTCCTGAGATGTTCCTCATGGAAACTGTTTGGAAAAGAAGAGAGTCAAGAAGAACATCCTGTTGCATCGTCCACCTTGTAGGTTCATAAAGGAAGTTAGCACTTCCTATATGAATCTTCCTCATGCGATGTGAGAAATGGCGCAGATTCTCACTCTTCTTTTTCATCTGTTTCTAATCAACACACTTCAGATTCAAGGTAAAAGCTGTTTTTTTTTCTGTTCGGGTTTTACATTTTAAAGTTCTGAGCATTTTCTTTTCGTTCTAAATTAATCCTGTTACTGATCTGGTATATCGCTGTAAACGTGTCGATCTCATGAAACAAAAGCAGGAAGGAAGAATGTTCAGTTTAGCAAGATAAGAAATATTTAAAGTTTTAAAATGTTAAGCTTTTGTTCACTTTTATTCTCACTGAAACTCTTCCATGTTCACTAATTCACAAACTACAGAAATTAAACTTAAATTACGAAACCTTTGCTTTAGATCTGTAGAATTACTAACCTTTTATCAAATCAGCTGATCTTCTTTTAACTCATTACAAATATTAAAATTGTTTTTAACTGATTAACCATCACTCTGTTTTGCTAATTCTGTTCAATGCCTTATTCTATTTATTAATTTTTCTTTGAACAATCTCTTACTGTGTGTTAGTTCTGGTTTGGTCAGATTAGATTGTGAAGTAAGTTTGACATGTTTGTTCTTTCAAATGATGGACAAAAATGACAGAAATTAATACTATGAGGAAAATATGCAAAACGGTGTTCAGATACAAAACATTCTCTGTGTCTGTTTATATAATATTTTACATTTGCTTTATTTTTCCAAAAAGCCCAGTTTGTTTTCCAACCTTTGATTTAAGCGTATTTATTCACAGGGTAAACAAGATATCAAGAAATAAGACGATTGTTTTTTAATGCTGGTGCCACATTTATCACCACCTCTAAAAACTCAGATAAAATAAAAATATCTGAAGCAAAAACAAAACAGAAACTAATAAACATGTAAAGCAATAGGTGTAGAAATTAAGAAAAACGTTTAAAAAGAATAGCAGATATACATTCTACAAAGTGTTCTTGTTCCATCCAAAAACAGCATAAAAAGTTTACATTAATGTATATTTGTTCAAAAACAGAATACTTAGAAAACCTAGAATCCTGTAGAAAGAAGAGCAGGAAACCAAACATCATACTGGGTTTGTTGGTAGCAGTGAAAAGTCTAACAGCTGCTGGGAGGAACGACGTTTCAGGGACATACAGGCAATATTTATTTATAAAACTATCACACTGACATCATATTTATATTTAGTGTATTAATAAGCTCATTTTAGATGAACAATATAGACATTTTACTAAAACACCTCAGTCTCTTCTGTCTAATGTACCTGACAACTTTGTACAGATCTCAGTTTAGTTTTTATTTATTTTGTTTTCTGTTTTTCAGGTTCCTCTGCAGTGACTGATGTGTTTGTGAAAACTGGAGATGATCTGATTCTTAATCTCACAGAAGCTGAAATTCCATCAAATTCTCGCTTTTGGACATGGCAATTTAAAGATGATATGCTGGTAGAGTTTACACGTGGCTACCGCCCAACTGTTGTTAACAGTCGCTCTGGAAAAGTTGAAGTTTTAGAAAAAAGTTACAGTGTGAAATTAAAGACTCTACAGAAGACACACAGTGGTATTTATACTGCAATGGTAGTGTCACCTAAAGTGCAAACACTGACTCAATACAACGTTACAGTTCTAGGTAAGTTTTTATGATATTTATATTTCTGACCTGTGTATGTTAGATAGCAGAATAATTAGCTGCATACTTTCAAATGGATGAAGAAGTTAAAACTCCAACACTTGTGACTTAATGAATAACTTTGTCAGACCTCTGTTTGATTTTATGGCTTTTATCAGTTTTATCCATATTCATGAACACAACACATTGTGTTTTTTTTATAATTATGTTGATCTTTGAATTACATTTTCTGTTGGATTCTGACCTCTCTTTTTTAATTTTTCTAATCCTCTAAAGCTTCTCAAATTAACTTTCTCCCTCAGATCCAGTGTCTCCAGCTGATCTCAGCTTCACCTGTGCATCCAGCTCCTCCTCCTCCTCCTTCTATAACCTGACAGCGACCTGCAGGACAGACGACTCTTCCATCAGCATCACTCTGAGATGTGAGGATCAAACCTGCAACCAAGAAGGAGGAGAGGGAAGATCAGTCACCAAATCAGGTTCTTCTCTTCGTATCTATCAGTTGAAAGAATCAGTCATCTGTATCCATAGCAACCAGGTCAGCAGGACTGAATCCAAAGTAAACATTGAGAATCGCTGCATTGAACTTGGTGAGACTGCATGACAAGAAAAGAACATTTTGGTTTTAACCCATTGTTAAAACTGATAAAGATGTTTGTTCACTTATTATAAAGCAAATCAATGTGTTTAATGCTTTATTGATTAAATTGGAGAAGATGTGTTTTTAAAAACGTATAAATGAAGCTTTTGTCATTATGTCTAATTTAATGTAATGTTAACATTTCTCATATTTTTGTTGTCTTTTTTCAGCTGAAAAAAGAACCACTGCAATTATTAACGTCACAAGAATAATCCTGGCTGCATTACTGGTTGTGGTTTTTACCTTAACTGTTGTTATAAGAAAATGTAAGTCTTTAGTTTTTTTATTTACTTCTACAATATAATAACAGTATAATAACCTAGATTCCAGGTTAAAACAGAAGAAGAAAGCAAGTTCCTAATTTGTTTTTTGCAACTTTCGTCTAATTTCCAACAATAAATTATTTACTGATCCTAAAAAAAACCCGAGAAAACATTTATGCTTTTTAAAAGGGATTGCAATTTGAAAATAATTTCTATACCTGCCTTTAAATGAGCTGAAACACTATTGCATTAAACAATTGTTTATAACACATAAGTTGATTTTTAATTAGAGAAAAACATAATCAGCTGATGTTAGGTTGAATTTTTTGAAGAGTTTTCTGAATCTGCAGAGCTTCATCCATGCTCTGTCAGCTTCCCTAACTCTTTTATTGGTTGCTAAGTTTTGCAAAAAAATAAAAAAATAAATAAAATTGAGATTTAGTTCTCTATTATTGCTGCTTTAGTTCACAAAGCTGACACAAAGCTGATGATTTTATTTATTTTTCAAAAATGCATTTTCTATATTTTTATTTCGTTTTTCAAGATTTTACAGTTTTAAAACTGATTATTTTTTATTCATCAACCAAAGAATAAATTATGTTTCCTGTTTGTTTTAGAAGCAGTCAAGACAAAAAGAGAAAATCTGTATTATTATTAAACATGAATACTTTAATCAATCCATAAAAACAATTACATTTTTCTTTGTCTAAAAGGTAAAAGGAAAACCGAACCAGAGGAAGTGATGTACGAGTTTCCAGAGGTGAGCAGCAAAGTTACGATAAGCTGGACAGTTTGAAGGTTTAAACTAATTAATGTATATTTTTTGTTCAAGTAAAGTTTATAATTAACTCTGCAAGAAAACCAAACTTTCCAAATTCCTTGTTTAGAAATTCTGCACAAAGACTCATTAGGTTCATCAGTCTGTCTCACTTATTTATTTTATTTTAACATCAGTGAATAAATCTTTCTGTCTGGTCATCATGATTCTGCTTCTTTCTGTTGTTCTGCTTCCTGCTGCAAACTTATTATTTTACATGTTGCAAGAGCGCTAATAATTACTGACACATAAAGGGAAGTATGTATAAATACTGAGATGTTTAAACTTCTTTTCATGCAGTGACACCAGGGGAACCAGACAAACAGAATCCTGCAGCAGATTCTGCAGACGCCTCATTCTGACCCATGAAGTTTCTAATGTTGGAGAGACTGGAAACACCTTCGAACAAACGGAGGAAACCTGTTCACCATCTCATAAATATAAATATGATGCTTTAACAAAACTGTAAATATGCTTTGAAAAAGAAGATGCATTATGTCCAAGTTAAAATATGTAACAAGTTTGCAGGCCATGAATGTTTAACATGTTTTCAAAGTGACATCTACTGGAAAAAGAACTGAGAAAATAAAGTGATCCACATACCCAACAAAATATTTTCATGTCTTTTTATGTTTTCTATTCTTATCCATCCTTTTTGTTGTGGAAAAAACAATGTAAAAACAATGTAAATACAGTAAAAAGTTGTTAAAAGTTCTAATTTTTCATGTATTATTGTGTCATTTGTTCAAGGAAATTGCGGTCTTTAAATCATCTTCTGGGATCTATTGGTAGTGCCTCCATCCTCCCCATATTCGCGCTCTTTTCATGCTTCACTTCCTGTTCTTACCATGCTGAGTTCAAACGGACAGCGAGGAATCCTGAAGAAATAGGAGGGAAATTTTAAAATAATCGCCGCTGGAAAACAGAATAAGGTATAAATTTATACCTTTAGGTATGTTTCGTAATAAGAAAGATAATTTTTTATTCAATCATTTTTTTATTTGTTTATATTCAAACTTAAGCGAGATATATTCATGTAGAATAGACTTCGTTCAAACTGTTCATGGAGAAATATGCAGTAGTAACTTGACTCCGTTTAATGACCACCTATCTTTCTGAAACCAAAACTTTGAATATGAACGTACTACACTGCACTACCCATGAACTTTTAGTTTTATAACTAACCCAGTTTTCTGAAACGGTCTCCGGGCTCACATAGATAAAACTTTAACACAACAGTTGTGTACTTAAATATTATTATCACAGAGATTCTTGAGAA